TGCTGTAAACTAGATTTTATGACTTAGAAATCAGTCTCCCCTTCCCATTTATTTATTATTATTTTTGTCGTAGAGCTCTTAAAAGCTTTGACCAACCCTCCTTTCATCATTCCTTCCTTTCTTTCTTTAAGACTTCTGAGTTGGTCTAATAAACCTATTTGCATCATAAAAGTATTGCTTTAATGTAGCAATATTTTCCAACCTAATGGCGTAGGGAAAACTTTTTGCTAATAATTTTAATAGCAATATAAGTGACATTAATGAAGCCATGACATTCAAAGTGCTTCTTGTTTAAATTCAGAACAAGGAGCTCTTAATTAATATTTAAGGGATTTTAAAAATTGAAAAGCTTTCAACATTCTAATAGCAGCTGCTTTAGCTTTTTAGAAGAACAAATCCCATGTGTTATCCAAAGCAAGTTGGGTAACTTTTCTCTGCTAAGGGCCATACCCTTTCAAGGTTAATGACATGAGTGTCACATGCCAAGAGCAGAAATCTGGAAGGAAATGGAAGATTGTGTGCCTGTCTTATGACAGCTCTTCCTTTTGCTCTCTAGTTTTCTCCTCTTCCTTCTCCTTTGTTCTTTTGAGTACTCTATCTGTCTTAAGCAGAGGAGGATATATATGTTAAATTAGAGTAAGGTGTGTTTATGACTCTGAATCATACTTTATAAAAGAGAATATGCAGTTGAGTGTGTACTAGGAGGGAATAAGCTTGATTATTTTTTTTAATATCATTGATGTTATATCACCAAATTCAACAATGTAATATTGATCTTTGTTATATATCTGATCATAGTTCAATTACTATGAATTATGTGTTTCAGAAACAGGCTAAGATCTTGAGAAATTGGTATTTTAATGTCTCCCTATTGAATGATAAAGAATATGATACAACAAATGCAGGTAGAGACCTCTCAATCTTTTGTTTGCATTCAGAAACATCGAATGGTGAAATCTTTGAGTGGGAATGATATAAAGCACATGTTCAATGTAAAATTAACGCTTACTCAACATATAAAATAAGACTAAAAATAAAAGAGAAAAACCTTGAAAGATAAACAGAAACATTTATGGGCATAAATGGTTATATGCCCATCTACAAGTTTGTACAGAAAAATACAGAAAAAAAGTATATGAATTAACTACTATAATATCTCAGCAGACAGATTTCATGCTAACATACACAACAGAGATACTTTTAAAATGGCAAAAGTCCTGGTAAGACCTTGGCTAATAATTGTAAATAGGACAATGATTCCAATTATTAAAAATGAAGGAGATAAAATGTATAAAACGTCAATGGATATAAACTGTCAACTTTTAAAATTGTATTCAGAAGTATTTAGTAAACCAGAAAATGTATCAAATGAAGATATAGAGCCCTTTTTAAATAAAATTAATCTACTGCTTTTAGATAAAATACAAAAATAACTTTTATTTACTTCACTATCTGAGGCAAAGATTAAGCAAATAATTTTTAAAACAGCAAGTGGTAAAACATCAAGTTTAGATGGGCTCCCTATTGAGTTCTATAAAACTTTTATAGATCTTTTGGTGCAAAAACTTTGCCACCTGTAAAAAGAGATATTTGATAAGGGAATTTTATCACCAATGAGACCTATATTAAAGTTATACTAAAAGCAAGTAAAGATCACACCCAATGTGCTTATTATCATCCAATCTCATTTATTAATATTGATGCAGAGATTTTAACAGCAGTATTAGCAATGGATTACAGCAAATGATAACATTTGTTATTAACAATGGTCCAGCAGGACTAATAAAAAGTAGGCAAGCAGCAGATAATATTAGATTAGTTGTAAACTTAAAGGACTAGAATAAGTATGAAGTTAAATTTGTAATTTTCTCATTAGATGTTGAAACACCATTTAACAAAATACACAAAGAATACATGCTTGCTGCACTAAATAAATTTGGATTTCTTTTGGACACTATCACTATTGAGAAAATTGCACTGGTTGTCAGTTGCTTCCAGGTATAATTCAAAGAGTGGGCTGTCTTCTTTAAAGGTCTACATGGATTTCTGCGGAGCCACCTTTTCCCAGCAATTTCTGCTTATCCAGTAAGAACCCACCAAACTCATCTCTGAGGAGGTTTTATCATTGGGGACCACAAGAGTATACCGCTGCCATCACTACCCCTCTCTTTTTTAGCATAGCCCTCTAATTGAGTTCAGTTCAGCATCAATATTACTGTTAATCAGGAACTAAACTTTGCTTTTCAGGAAGACTTTGTAGTTTGATAGAGAGCTTCACATCGTGAAATAGGCATTGTTTATTACTAAGAATATTATTTATTAGCAAACACTGTTTAGAGACATTTACAATTAAGTGACCTGTAAGACTAAGTAAGGAAACACACATGAATTTTATTTGCTTATTTATAATAATTAGAAACTGGGCACCTATACTACATAAAATGACTACATTTAATTAAAACAAGCAACAATTAATTTGAAAATTGAAAATAATTATACTGCAGTTTAAATGAGAATATTTTATTTACAAAGGACTTAGACAGGAAGAGATAAAACCAGACTGTTTTCCTATCATTTAATGGTTTATAAACAGCACTAATTATTGTGAATTGCATATGTATGAAGTACAGTTATTTAAATTGATCAACCTCTCATTAAAACTGTAGGGAATATTAAGAAACTTATTAACTTGTTTTCTGATGTCCTGATAGAATTGGTAATGACCAGAATTGCTAGATTTGTACTCAGTAATGGGAAAATATCCTGCAGTTTTGCTTAACGTTCTCTTGACAAACAAATCTGTTAAGAATGTCAATCTGCTTTCAAACTGCAAACTTTCCCAGTACAAATTTTATGAGAGACAATTCTCTGCCACATGGATGGAGGCAATATCTTAACTCCTTTCTCTATTTGGGAGACAGACACTATTTTGTCTTTTTAAAATCAAGGCAGAACTGCTGGGCTGAGACTGAGAAAAGGGGGGAATAACAGAGACTAGGAATAGAATTTGGAATTTCTATTTTTAAAAAGTCCAAGTAAAATTTAAAAAAGGAACAGAAACTTCACATACTAATTCTGAAGAAATAAGTTGTGAGTTTAGAAATAAATTTACATTAAAAACTGAGAGAGATCTAGGAGTCCTACTGGATAATCAGTTATGAGCCAGCAATGTGCTAGAGCTATCAAAAAAGCCAATGCAGTCCTAGAGATAGCAACAGAGAGATAGCATCAACAGAGAGATAGCAACAAGATCACATAAAGTGATAGTACCACTTTATACTGCACCAGTGAGATCATACTTGGAATACTGCATCCAGTTCTGGTCACCACAATGCAAAAAAAAAAAAAAAAAAGATGCTAAGACTCTAGAAATGGTGCAGAGAAGCAACAAAGTTGATTAGGGGACAGGAGGCTAAAGCATATAATGAATGGTTATGGCAACTGAGTATGTCTAGTCTAATGAAAAGAAGAACTAGGGGTGATAATATAAAAGTTTTCCAATATTTGAGGGGCTGTCATAGAGAGGGTAGGGCAAGAAGTAATAAATGGAAGTTTATCAAAGAGAGATCCAACCTAGAATTAAGAAAAAATTTCCTATCAATTAATCAGTGGAATGGCTTGCCTCTAGAAGTTATGGATGCTCCATCACTGGAGGCTTTTAAGAAGAGATTGGACAGCCATTTGTCCAGAATGATATAGGGTCTCCTGCTTGAGCAAGGGGTTAGACCAGAACACTTCCAAGCTCCCTTCTAACTATATTATTCTGTATTTTGATATTTATTTCTCTGTGATAAACAAGTCTTCTGTGGGGTCCTTGGTGCTTTCTGAGCTTGTTTTTTTTTTCTTGTAGATGTTTCACTACCAAACTAGGTAACATCATCAATGCCAGAAGAAAGTGGGGTTTGCTTTGAGTTTCCCATCTTTTATTTCTTCACATAAACTCAGTATTGAATGAATATTTCAGGTTATGCACAAGTAAATAATTTTGTTTAGTAGTTATGATTTTAAATAATAAATGAAAATGCTATTGCAATTTATTTACAGCATGGTCTGCATCATATTTTATTCTGCTTGGAACACTTTTTTTAAATTTCTCAATAAAACTGGTGTTTTCCTTTGATTTTGAATAGTTCCATATCTTCCTTCTTCAAAGGGATTGTTGACATTTTGATATCTAAAATTAAAAGTGTTATTACAATTTTGTTTTCCTTTTCAAAATATAAATTTTGTTTTTTTATATCTTGTGCAATTTATCTACCTCCAAAAGAAACACTGAAACTACTAGTTGCATAGTCAGGAAATACTGCTATATTTCATTCTTTTCATTTTAATCATTAGAAAAACAGCATATGGTACAAGAGACCCATTTTTTTTTTTAATACACCAGGTTTAAAGGGATGCATCAGGTGAGGCACCCCCTGCAATATATATGGTAGCAGTCGGAACTACCAAGTTACAAATCAAAGCAGTAGGCTGGGCCAGAATGTGAAGACACAAAGGTCCTTGGGAAAAGGCGGTTTTAGATCACTAGCCTTCATGGCCAAAATCTTGCAATAATGTTAATATTTAAAATACTAATTCCTTTTGTAAGAATTAATTTCAAAAAGATTGTAAAAATGTTTATATAGAAAACAGCATGGCAAAAATGCAAACAACTATTAAAGGAAATGGATCAAAAATGCAACCTGAAGGATTTTTTTCCCCCATTTTGTATCCAGGAAATAGAAGTAATTGAATTTTTACCTGTTTTATATTAAAATTTTATCCATAAATAAATTTTTTTGTTAAGTATTTCCTCTTCACTATTTGTGTGAAGGGGGAAAATTGATTGGGGAAAGAAAAGGTATTCATTCCATTAACTGAAATTATTAACACATTTTGTTTACTTCTATCAGTCAGTTCTTTCATAATCTGATAAAGTAAGCAATACATTTTAAGTTTTTTTTTTAAAGGTTTGCGAACTCAAGTTATTCTAACCTATGTTTTATTTCGCTTTATAGATTGATCTTCTTGTCCCTACAAAAGTCACTGGCATTATTACTCAAGGAGCTAAAGATTTTGGTCACGTTCAGTTTGTGGGGTCCTATAAACTCGCCTATAGCAATGATGGAGAATACTGGACCATATATCAGGATGAAAAGCAAAAAAAAGATAAGGTAACAAGGTGGTTGATATTTGGAATATACAGCAAACATTGATGTAGCATTTTTCAAACCTGACATTCTCCAAGCTAGTAAGCTGCAGGTTAATGTATGCTGTGTGGTTTTATGGGATGTGCATGTTGAGGTTTCATGGTTAAAGGTCAATGCAAAATAAAAATTAATATAAATATATTAACATTTGCTCATATTTTAATATTAATATGTGTAAAGTGTCAAATTTAAATGAATAATAAAAACTGCTAAATGAAAAACCTTTACTACAATTTTCTTTTCAATGTGATAAAATAGTGGTCAGAACATAAAAATATATACTGAAGTAAATAATGTATATAATGGTTTGAAAAATATTTCTCAAACTATTCACACAACATCTGGAAGAATTCATATAATATGAAACAATTTGTATTTTATTTATTTTTTATTTACTTATTTAATTTATATAGCCAGCTATCTCATTCGCATGTGACTCTGGGTGGCATACCCAGTGAAATCACAAATTAAACAATCAACATAATTCAGTCATGAAGATTCATTAAAAGCAGTTTAAAAAAACCATTCACCTCCTAATGTAGTCCCAACATCTCAGGTCAGAAGTCACCAATATTTTTGAGCTAATGAATAGATGACTCACAAAATGGGTGTGATCCAAATGCCGCATGACAAACAAAAAATTATTTCATGCCTCTTCTCCTAGTTTCTCTATAGGTTTCCCTCCGAACCTTAGATTTTTGTTTAATAGTTTAGGACAGTGGTTCTCCCTTTTTAATGCCACGACCCCCAACCGGTTGTAAGTTGAGGACTAAACCGGTCGTAAGTCGAGGACTAAACCGGTCATAAGTTGAGGACTAAACTGGTCGTAAATCAAGGACTACCCAACCGGTCGTAAGTCAAGGACTTTCCCTGCCCGGGAACGCCGCGCATGCGTGGTTCCTCCCCCTGCCCCGGCCGAGGCATAGCTGGCAAAAGCAGCAGAGACGGAGCAGGCCGACCACCAGCTGGCCCAGCTCAAGGGAGGCAAGGCACCCGCTGGAAACGGGGAAAAAAATGGCAGACAGCCTTGCTTGGCGACCCCCGTGAAATGGTCAATCAACCCCAAATGGGTCACGACCCATAGGTTGAGAACCGCTGGTTTAGGAGCTTTGAACACTTTGTGATCTAGCGGACATAATTTCAATACAAGTGTCAGTAACTACTTGAGTTCTTATAACTTTTGGTGTTTATTTTCAGTTATATACTTTGCCTTCCATCAGCCTCTTTCTTCATTGTTTTCTCTTTTTTTAAGTATTAGGTTCTTCTTCATTGATTTTTGCCACATTTTGTTTCCAAAATATTGCATTTTATTTTTAGTTCTTGCAGTGAACACTCTTGTTTTATTTCATCTAGTACTGAATTATTTGTTCTTCTTGTAGTCCAAGGTATTTTCAACTGTTTTCTTTTCCAGCCTACTATTCACAGAAATCATTTTTTCTTTGTTTAGCCTTTCTGATGATCCAGCTTTCATAGCCATGTCTAATAACTAAGAAAACCATGGCATCGGCAATGCCTACTTTTCTTGTCAGTGTGATATATTTTCCTTTAATGTCCACAATATCTTTGCCCTTTTTGTAAACACCTGGACACATTCCAAATGACGTAATGAACTCTGATGACCTCTTCATTCTTCTGCTGAAAGATTGCTTACATGGTTGTGAGACCCAGAGGAATTTTTGTAAATAAAGGTAATGTAAGAAGCTGGTGCTTTGCTGTTTTCTGTACCAGTATATCTCAAAGAACATAACATTATTTTTAAAAAAATATAATTCAAAGAATCTGTTTTTTAAAAAAGCATTGACACTGTCCTACTCATTAAAAGCTGCTCAAGGTCAGGAAACAAGAAATCACAGCAGGGATGCCAGGGATGCTGCTGATTGTAGTAAATTAGAATAACAGAATTTTGAAAGCCTGGCCAGGTTTGTCTCTGTGTCTCCTTATGCTTTTGTTTTTTGTTTTGTTTTTTTGGAGTCTGGTCATACCTATGAGCACTTTCTCAGGAAAAAATGAATTTAAATGCATATAATAAAATACATAGATACATACTGAAATCAGTTATTATCCAATACAGTTATCAAAATATTTAAAAATAACAAGTACATAATATATGTGGTACTTTATTAATAACCAGACAATATTTTAGGATATAATAATTTTAGATATAATTACAATTCTATGATAATTTTAGAGATTTATTAAGTCAAAAACAACAGAGTCTAGAGGCGATCAATTATCTTGTCTACATATGTTATTGAATAAAAAGCTAAATTTCAATTAGAGGTTAGTGAAAATTAAGTTGTGATTTTTTCCCCCCATCCAAGTTCACAGATCTCTGTGAGCACCCAAAGCTCAGTGAAGTAGCCCTTAGTTGAGGGAGCCATTCATTCTTCAGAAAGAGTCAGTGAAAGGTAGGGATTAAGGAGGCATAGAGATAAAACACACATGTGAATACGTGTGTGCGATTTGTATGTGTTCATGTATGAACAGCTGTGTGTATATGTATGTACATGTGAGTGTGTGTGTGTGTGTGTATAGATATAGATGATAGATAGCTATAGCTATAGATCAGTGTTTCTCAACCTGGGCAACTTTAAGATGGATGGACTTCAACTCCCAGAATTCCCCAGCCAGCTTTGCTGGCTGGGGAATTCTGGGAGTTGAAGTCCATCCATCTTAAAGTTGCCCAGGTTGAGAAACACTGCTATAGATGATAGAGAGGGGGAGAGAGGGAGGGAGAGAGAGGGAGAGATAACTGATACTGTTATGGCTGAACTTCAGTTGCACACTTTCCAGTGGAAGCAATGTAAATATAAGTGTATGTAACACCTGCTGTTTCAAACTGCCAGGTTTTCATGTTTAAATTGTTACTCGGATCCCCAGAGAATACAGACCAATGAAACTACTAAAAGATACCGTTAGAATGTTGTTTTTCATGTTCATTTAAAGTGGTTTGAAAACAGAATACACATGAATGCTGTTTTTATACCTGCACTGAGTGGAAATCTCTGAAATCGTTGAAACTATCTTGGAGAAAAATATATTTTAGAAGAAAAAAACTGAGTTAAATGGTGATCTTGCTTTTCTCAACTAGAGGTCAGTAGATCACTGCAGTTTCAGGGCTTGAAAATGGTATCATACGAGGTAAACGAATCTTTTTAAAGATCTACTGCAATCTGTGATTTGAGAGGAAAATAATCATGGTACATCACATGAAATAAATTCTTATTATTGCAAATCTTTTCCCAGTGTTCTTGGGATGTAGCAAACAGAGAATGAATGTGCTGGAGGAGGAAAACTCAACACAATGTATTATGTACAGGGGATGTACAGTGGTGGGGTTTAGCCGGTTCACACCACTTCAGCAGAACCGGTAGCTAATTTACTTCTTACCTTTCTTTACACATGGGAAGTTTGACAAGTTTGTTATCCACAAGATTTATTTTTTATCCCTGTTCAGCAGTTCTAAAATAACCTGATTTGACTTGACCCCTTTCAGATACCACATATTGATATTTACAATCAAATTGAAACCAGGATTTGGAAATATAAGGCAATGATAAGAAAGTCAGAAATGCCTGCAATTTTATAACATGTTACTATAGCTGCACTGATATCTCTTTCACTTTTCCTTTAAAAATCTCAAAACATTGTTATGTGGGATTTTCAGGTAAACTTTAATACAAGTAATTTATAGTATGTAGTATGACTTTAAAACCCAAATGTACAGTACATGTACTATCATGTGCTTAAAAAAAATCGAAATATAGCAAGTATAGTTGCATTTGGCAAATATAGTAGCATTGCCCTGGCAGAGTATTGTCATGCAGAATTTCAGACAAATCTACAGCAATTTTAGTGCCAAATATTTGGATTTTTTTTAAGTGCATGATAGTACATGTACTGTATATTTTGGGTTTTAAATAAGTGTTATATTATTTAACTCTCCGCTCCCACCCTGACATATAGCTATGGGAAGTAATGTAAATGTTTGGACAAGATGCAGATCTGGCATATGAGATCATACCACATACTATAAATTACTTGTATTAAAAACTATCTTAAAATCTCATATAACATGTTTTGATATTTTTAAAGGAAAAGTGAAAGAGATATCAAGGGACTGGAAAAACTAAAGTTATACAAGGACAGATTGAAAGCCTTGGGTATTTTGGTCTTAAGAAAAGAAAACTAAAGTGATACATAAAAACACCCATTAAATACTCAGAAAAAAGACCAAAACATTTTTCTTCCCAGTATGCAGGATATAAATAATGGATATGACACAAAAGCAGACTTGGCAATAGTAAAACCAGTTAAGAAGAGATGTCATGAGTCCCCTTCATTAGACGTGTTCAGTGAAGATTGGACAGTCATCTGT